AGAGAGAGAGAGAGAGAGAGAGAAACAGACAGTCAGATAGATAGACACAGACAGACAGACAGACAGACAGACAGACATAGAGACAGACAGACAGACAGACAGACATAGAAGAGAGATACCGCCATATCTTTTCCTCCTCTTTTTAATACTGTATATTGAAAGCTTCTGCACTGACCTAATTATTTCTGCTGTGAAATACTGTACTTTTTTATTTTGAACATTAATGTGCTTTGGAGAAGGGATATGTTGTTAAATAAATGCCCAGGACATTCATATCATATATTTCCCAATACATCATGAATTACAATAAGCCTTCCAATCTTATTTTCCCCTGATTGTAGAACGTTGTCTTTCAAGCTTTGATGTTAATTCTTTATTTGTTTTAAATGTGTACGCCGTTGCTTGAAAATTATTTATTCATTTTGGACGTGCTTATTTCATATTTGTAGGCCTCCATATCGACTATTATAAAATGCTACTTTATGTGATAATGATACAGTTGACATCACTATAAGAACCTTACCCAGTGTGTCCTGTGAAGCCTATTATCTCGATACAAAATTATCGTTACCGTGAAGCTGTATTAAATGAAAATGTTATAATGTGTTACACTGCACTTATCACGTTCATATCGTTGTTAAATGTTCATAGCAGAGTTCCCCATTCCGTAATCGATAATTAACCAAATAGATGATGATGATTATGATGATGAGATACATAGTTTGTCTGTATCAAACAGGGGTTAAAAGTATTTTTCCTTTCAGAAGTAATAAATTAATGCTGTTATGTTATGTTGTTATTTAGTTTTACTGGGTAGGGTTGTTTTTTTTTTGCTAATGGATTCCCACTGAACAGTGTACGACTAGACTCTAACATTTTTTCTTTGCTAAAACGCAGCAGGTGTTAAAACGTTTTGCTCTCAACTGCAGCAAAAATGAGAGCCACTCAAATGATAACAATTTTTTAAGATGAACATAAATTAGACTACAGCCGCAGCCTTCTCATTGTACTCATACATTGCAGTGCAGTTTTGCGTATAAGAATATTATATAATATTGTGGAATAAGTGTTTAAGGCTAGTACTTTTTTGGTATTTAACTGTTTCTGTTCTTTTCTTTTTTGTTCTGTTTCAGCGTCCTGGGTACAAGGATGGTGAGTGATTTGCTGAATTTATAGACATTGTTCAAGGGATTTCTAGTTCTTGTGTTGACTGACAGAATTATCGGCATTCAAATATCGGCACCAGTAGGAAATATTGAACTCTTGATCAAATTATGTGGTCGAGGATCCCCCTCCTCCTCCCCTCCCCACCCCTACCCTTACGCCTTAGTCTTGACTAGTTACCTCCTTGTTTATTTTCGATAACAATTCTTAACAAAATTACTGCAAGCGGACAAGAAAGACAGCCACTTAATATTATGTTCTGTTTAAAAATACATTCCCTTACAACAACTGAGAGGTTGTTAGGAAAGCGCTGTAATGAAAGGATAGGCCGACGGATACGGGAAGGAAAGTAAGATACATTTGAAACCTTGGAGAAGGAGGAGGAGGAAGAAGAGAAGGAGGAGGAGGAAGAAGAGGAGGGGGAGGAGGAGAGGTAAGAGGAGGAAGAAACGTGTATAAACAAACAATGTAATCTGAAACAGCATGCATACACAATTTTTAAATGAAAACATTTTCTTGTTTTCCTTCTCCAGGAGCCAAAGAAGCCATAACTTCAGCAACGTTTACGAAGAACAGGTTAGTGAAACGTTTTTGGATTTTTTTTTTAATGTGAAAAAAAAAATGGTATAAGTTTATCAACTCTTGAGAGGAGGGACCTCATAGTTTAACGTCCATCTCCGAGAGGACCAAGCCAAATGGGAAATTCGTGTAAAGTGCCTTTCCCAAGGACACAACGTCGGGCTGAGCTGAAACTCGAACCCCCGAGGCCACAATCTCACGATTGCAAGTCCGATTGTCTAACAGTCTAACCACTAGACTACCGACGCAACTTTTCAAAATTATGATTAAGAATTTTGGAAGAGATTCTCAAACTCACAAAGAAAAGGACAAGTGCAGCATCACACTGTTTTTCTTCTCATACACTCTTCAGTTACTTTTTCTGTGAGTTGTTGTTGTTGTTGTTGTTGTTGTTGTTGTTGTTGTTGTTGTTGTTGTTGTAATTTAAAGCTGAAAATTTGAGGGCAGCGCTGTCTTTTCTTTCTCTCTGTTTCTGTCTGTCGTCTTACTTCATGCGAGTAATTTATTGGAGGGCGCCACTATTGGAAGGTCCTACTTCTCTTCGTTTCATCTGTTCTTTCTGTCTACCTGTCTTGCTTCTTCCCCGCACTTTAGGGTATGGCCGTTGTTATGACTATGTGTTTCTTTTTTTTTAAAAAAGGAAGTCTTACTTATTCCCATCACTATTATTGTGTTAATGTTCTACTTTTGTGATACAGTAGAGAATTTGTTAGATTTTAATGTACGTATGTTATATTTATAGAGAGACGGGGGTGTGGTTGTGGTGGGGTGGGGTGGGGGGGTTGGCAGGTGCTCTGGTGTGGTTTGCTCCTTTTTATTTTTATTTTTTTTGCTATCAATTTTCTAAATTCAAAGGATCATTGTCGGAGCAACGGGGACCGTACACTGAGCTCGAGACCTGATCCAGTACATGGAGAATAAAGTAGATGCAGACGACGACGACAGGGAGAGGGGAGAAGAAACCGAAAACGAAGGGCAGGCGAGAGGAGACATAGGAAAAAGGCTGACAGACTGGGTAGAAAATACATGCGGATAGGGTACTGGAATTGTCGGAGCGTGAACCAGAGAAGATCCATCATTGACAGGCTGGTTTATGATTTTAGTGTGCTTTTGTTACAAGAAACCGGTTAGAGGCAAGGACCAGAATTAACATTCCTGGTTACAGTTTCTTAAGCAACCCCATAAATGATGGACATGGAACAGCTATTTGGGTGAAAGACAGCATTGAACATACGATTTTGAATGTGGAAGAACGGAGCCAGCATGGTAGGGAAGTACAGGGTGTCCAAATTAAAGGTGGCGACATCAGATGGAATGTGTTCAACATCTATGCTGGAAATAACCAGTTGGTTCATGAGAGGGACTGTAATTTTTTGTGTGATCTTGCAGAGATGCCGGGGGAACGCACAATTATCTTCGGGGACTTTAACGCGACAGCAGAAGAGTGGGGCAATGCAACAGAGAATGGACAAGGAATAGCACTCAGAGAAACACTGTTAGAGATGCCACTGATTTGCATAAATGATGGAAGACCTACTAGACTGGCAACGAGACCGGGAGATTCGGATGGGGTTATAGATCTGGCGTTGGTGTCATCTGGGGCTACTCTCTACACAAAGTGGGACTTTTTAGGGCAACACGAAAGTGATCACCTTCCATGCATTGTTATGATCGAAAAGGGAAGCCGCAGACCCCTAAGAAACAAGCGCCGAATGAAAGCTTTTACTTACAAGAAAGACAATGATGAACGGTAGGAAAGCTGCGAAGTAAAGTATCCCGAAAACAGAATATGAAACAGATTGTACAACCACCATGGTGGAACGAGAAATGTGAGGAAGCATGGAAGAGGAAAAGGCAAATGGTCAAAAAGTGGCAAAAACTTCGTAAGGACAACACCAGTGAGCAACACATCATCCAAGAAGCTGCCGAAACAAAGAACAGGCGATGTGTGGATTTTAAGGGAAAAGCCAAAGGAGCGAAAAAAGAAAGGTGGGAGAAATTTGTCTGGGAAATCGGACAAGACAAAGGTTTACACAAATTTTGGAAGTTACACAATAGAATGAACAACGGGTACACAGCAAACTTAATGCCGGATATCAAGAGCATTGATGGAATGGCCATTCTGAGAGATGATGCAAGCAAAGGAGAAGCCTTTCTTAAAAGATACATCACACAGACTGATCTGGGTGATGCTGAGACAAGGAAAGAGGTATGCCAGAGGTTGAAGGGAATCATGCGGGACGAGGGATATGACAACATCATCACAATAGATTTTAGATTTGGTCAAATCTGTGCTAAAAACCACCAACAACACAACGCCAGGTCCAGATGGGATACAGTACAAACACTTTAATGAGCTCAGTGGCGAGGAATTGGAAAACATTGTGGATGACTACAACAGCAGCATCAGGACAGCAACTGTACCAGAAGAGTGGTTGCACAGTTATTCAAAGCCACTACCAAAACCTGGGAAGAATCACAAAGAACTCAAAGGATACCGCATTATCACCATGCAAAATGTGTATGGAAAAGTGCTAGAAAAATGCATGGCAAGAATACTCAAGAATGAGCTAGAGAACAACGGGAACCTACCTAAGGAGTTAGGGAGTTACAGACCCAGAAAGGAAACTTGGAACAACGCAGGGACCTTCGCGTATGATGTATATGAAGGCTTTCAGAGAGGAGAAGAGACCGTGGCAATAGCATTAGATCTGGAAGATGCTTACAATCATGTCAATTATGAGAGGCTAATGTGTGCTCTGCTAGATATTGACGTGGACCTGTGGATTGTTGGGTGGATTGCAGGAGCAATGCTAGAAAGAAAAGTGGCTTTGCGATGTGGTCAATGGATTTCAAGCCCACAGGTGATAAGACCAGGACTCCCACAGGGCTCACCCTTATCGCCCAAACTGTTCATTGTCTACACTGCGCGTATTGCAATGCTGAACAGCGTTGGGCCCGGGAGAATACTAACTTTTGCAGATGACATCTTGGCCTACAGGCAAGGACGAGATCGGCGGAAAATGACACATGAACTACAGCAAGAGGTTGAGAAAATCATGGAATGGTGTGCTGAATCAACCACAGTGATCAACCCTCAGAAGGCCACAGCACTGTCGTGCTCTTTAAACAATCGAATAGTAAAGACCAGAATGTCCCAGAACTGACGGTAAATGGACAGAATATTCAAAGATGTCAGAAGATGCGGTATCTGGGAGTGGTTTTCGATCGCTGTCTTTCCTTCAAAGATCACATAGATGGTGTTGTGGAAAGGGCAAAGAAGGGCTTGAATGCAGTGAATGTCATGGCGGCTTCGGGAATGGAACAAAGGCTACGGCTTCTTATGTATCAGCAGCTGGTCTTGGCAGTCATCGATTATGGGCTCGAAATATTGACCTTGACAAAAACCCAACTGGACAAGTTGGAGCGAGTTCAAAATGAAGCCATGCGCATCATACTAGGCTGCACCAGGGATATGCCAATTATCTGTATGAGGTATTATTGGGCCTCATGTCAGTGGAAAACAGACACAAAGTAGCTCAGGTTAGGGCGTACATGAGAGTGGCGGCGGATAAGCAACACCCACTTCACGAAGCCAATGGAGCAATCAAAGGAAATCGCCTAAAAGGAGGAGCTTCTTGGATGGCTGAGGCTGAAAACACCATCAAGGAAGTCTGCCCACTGGAAGATATAAAGCGGGGTGAAGAATGGGTAAAGATGAATGAGAGACAGTAGGGAGATTTTTGGAAGATAGTGATTACGCTGAACAGAGAATGTAGAGAGTGGCCGCATAGGGCGACAGATGCTGAGATACGACAACTGCTTGAAGAAAACTCACAGCACGGAGATGTGGTTGTATACACGGATGGATCTGTTAAACGAGGGGAAAATCTGGATGGGGCTTCTCAGCAAGAGTGAGTGGCAAATTGGTGCAGGAACAGCAGAGAGCATACGATATGACAGCATCTAGCATGAGAATGGAGATAGAGGCAATCACTCAGGCTCTCAAATGGGTCACAACAACTCGACAAGCACCTGTGATCTTTGTCACAGACTCTCAGAGCACTCTGGGGAAGATTGAAAGTGGGAACCTTAGAGCTGAATGGACAGAGCTCCTGAAGAAGACAACACTGAAAAAGATCACGTGGATCTTCATCCCGGGCCATGCTGGAGTCAAGGGGAATGAGTGGGCTGATGAGCTCGCTGGGAAAGCAAAACCAGAAGGGAAGCTGTGCCCTGACAAACATGAAATTGTACGGTCAGTCAAGGAAAAAAGAGAAAAAGAACAAGAAGAGTCGGAATACCATCATCTTGAGCGACTTTGTGAGCTCGAAATTGGATGGGGCGCCTGCAGAAGTTCAAGACTGAGTGGGAGGAGCAGAAGGATATGGAATCAACCATTGCTTGGAACCGTCAGCATCTACACACTTTGAGACTTGTGCAGTGATGTCGGTCCTTCACACAAGTAAACAAGTTTTGCTATCAAACTTACTTTTATCGTTCTTATCTTCTTTTGTTTTTGGTGCTCTCTTGTAACTCCTCTAATGTTCGACACTTATTATGACCTTAATGTGTTGCAAGTGCTGTAAAAATCTTAATAAAACTAATATAGATGGAGTTTAAATTACTGGTGTGTTTGTGTCTGCAGGATATGACACTGGCATTAGGTGAAGAAAAGGATGACGAGTTCAAGATTGAGACAGTTCTTGTTGACAACGAGGTAGGTCATTGTTTATATTGTGTCTCTTAGTTTCTTTCCTGCATTTGCTTTCTCTGAAATCATCATCATCATCATCATCATCATCATCATCATCATCATCATCATCATCATCATCATCATCATCATCATCATCATCATCATCATCATCGTCGTCTTCGTCCTCCTCTTCTCCCTCATCATCATCATCATCATCATCATCATCATCATCATCATCATCATCATCATCATCATCATTGTTGAAAAGTAGAGTGAAATAAATGAGATGGAGACTATGACATTGCTCATTTACCAGTACACTGTAGTTTATTGACGTAAAATTCTAATTCAAAAATTGGTCAACATCTTTTCCAGTGTTTTGTCAATTAATAATTTCACTGTCATCATTACCATTTCCTTCACATTTACCACTGATGCTTCCAACCTTAATGTATTGAAAATGGTGTAAAGTCCATACTACCAGTGTCTGTGGTGTAGAGGGTAGATAGAGTCCAATTCTCAAGTGGAGCAAAATTTTTACCAAACATCTCAGTCTTTCTGCTGGGATGTTGTATCCATCTCAGCTCTGGTTGGTCCTGACAGGCAGGGTCAGAAGCCCACCCCCCAAATTATCTAAATTGTATTGACGGGGCGTAAAAAACACCTACATTTAAAAAACCCATACACTTATAGAGGCCTATTATAACTGATACGTCCCTGTTCTCATAGGTGCTGGACGTTGGCCCTTTCAAGAGTGTACAGCCAGATGAGCAGCCTACTAAAGGAGACATTTACCCTGAGCCCTACATCTACACCACAGCAGACAAGCTTCCTTCTGTCAAAGAAGACAATGCGGCAGCATCCCCAACTTTCATCACGCAGCTGGAACCAGAGATGCTTGCGAGTAATTCCACCCCTGGTGAAATGAAAGAATCACAAGTAGGACCAGTGATTATTCAAGAAGCAGAGAATATCTCCACCTTTGATGGCAATCTTGTAAGACTGTAGTTATTAGGAGCAGAAAAAAAAAAGTTTAATGGAGTCCCCTAATAACAGACATTAAATTAATGACCAGAGTTTTGTTTTGTATCTTGACTTATTTGTAATATTACTCCCAGAGACAAGATTCGGGTGTTAAATTAAAAATGTTTAGTATTGTCACATATGAAAGGAAGTACGGCAAAACAAATTTGAAAAAAAAGGTCATTTTTTGATGGGGAAAAGCAGAATCTATTTTTTGTGAGTTTATTAAAAGTGGACACCAGTGTACTGTGTATAATATTGGATAGGATTCAGGATTCTTAGCTACGAAAAATAGCGACTTAATTCTGAATCTTCCAGTACAAAATTATCCCAGAAATTAAGAGAAAAGCACAGCACAGTTGTTTATCAAAACAAGCTACGTTTATTTAAATTTTGTTCAACAGTTTGTGTACTCTTTGGATACAAAATCTGTAAATATAATGGAATTTATCGTGTAACTTTTTAGCTAATTGTCCCACTGCTATAAGTTGTCATCTTGATTACATTATTTAAATATAACAATTCAATATAATTTTAAAACAGATTTCACAGATAAAAAATTTTTTTTAAGAGTATGAAAAATGGGAAAAGGAACATAAGAGGGGGAGTGAGAACAAAACTTGAAGGTCGTGTCTTCTGTGGCTCTGTTTTTGCTGCATGCCAACATCATTGCCATAGTGCAGAACAGTAAAATCTTGGTAGCTCTTACTGTGACTACAGCCTGCTGTAAATTGCAAACTGCAAAGTATGTTTGACTAGGTCCCAAGTTTCAGGATCACCTTTGTCAAATACTACAGCTTCAAGCGGTATGTTGATGGTGTTGGATATAAACTGACCAAGTTGAGTGAGTTATTTTTTTTCCAGATCAGCAGAAAACTCGTCAATTAAAAGTTAAAAGGAATGTCAAACCACTAGCTTTTCTACATATATGAAATCAGGCGCTTGTCAAAATAATGAAATCTAAGAAATCTGCAATTTTTTGGCCGATGGGCAATTTGAAAATTTTTTTTCTTGGCTCAACACTTTTTAATGTTCATTCAAAAACATATTTTTGTATGGGTTTTACTGAAAAACATAGATTAACGGTACAAAAATTTAAATTTACTGTTTTCAAGGACTCTTGGGCTTTGGAAGTTACAGAACTTTAGTGGCCATTTTCTCGCTAATTTTGCCACTGAAACCAGGTGACTTTGACCTCATTCAAACACAAATATTTCGACTTCTATTTGACATAGATGGATATTTTTTTCGCCAAAAGGAAGGCAAATGAGCAGGTTTTAAGATAATACCTATATAACCCGATATGCCCTTAAATTGACGAGCGCCTGATTCCACCACGGCATGACACATATGTTGTAAGGATAGGAAGAGTACAGAACCTAGATGATTTAAAAACTTATGGAGGATCCAATAAAGGAAGAAAGGGTACTAAACAAAAAGAAATAGGGAAATCTTGGACTGGTTGATTTGCTTCTGACACCACTGATATTTTCTGCTGATCGGCAAAGAGTTTTTTGCACCAAATTTTACTGGTCATGCTGTTTGTGTCTTCATGCATTCTGTTGTTTATGTTTTACAGTGGTTTCATTCACTGAAGGCAGAGTGAGATGGAGGTGGAGTGTTTGTTTTCTGAACAAAAATTGTACATAATACACTCACACTTAAGTGCTTATGTTGTATTCTGTATGACCATTCAGACATTATTAAGAAGGTGATCCCTTTAACTACTGATTGTGGTTTACTACAAAATGCACAAAAGAAAGGCTTTTTTGTTAGCTGTTGTGGGTTTTTATTTCTATTCTCATGCATAATGCTTAGTGTAATATTGGAAATTAACCCTTATATAGGTAAGGCAGAAATGCCTGTCGATTGGTAGGTAATAAAGAAGAAACTGTGCTCTGCAGAAATCACTTTTGAAACAGGCATATAAAGATCTTGAATAGTACCCTACAGAGAGTTTCAATGGAATTTATGTGGATGTACCTAAAAATATAAGGGTTAGGTCATACTTTGTAATTAAGACAAATAAGGTTCATTATTCCCTTCCGCTGACATTACAATTCGATAATCAATATTACTACTAGAGCATGACGAGTGTACAGGGAGGTTTCATTTTTTTTCTTCCTAAGATTTCACCATAGAATTTATGAGATAAGAAATAAACAGGCTGTGACATTTGAACAATTTTTTCATGATAAAACAGAGTTTTGTTCTTTCATAAGTTAAATCCTGAGAACTTGTCCATTTTTTGTTCTCCAACATTGTTAAGATAAGATTAAATGTCTTCCGTATTATGCCTGCATTTCCTGTGTTTGAAAAAGCAGACAAAGGTAGCTTCCAAATTTTCTGGAGCTTGATTTGTTTTCTTCATTCCATATCTCGATCCTAGTTTACATAATGAATAAAGACTTACTTGTATAACTTTCTATGTTTGAAATATAGTACTTATTTTACTATTCATAATCAATACTGGTTTTTTTCCTTTTCATTTTGCTGTCTCACGTATTATCATCAATACTATTTAGAAAGCATTTCAATTGATCATTACAGTAAAGCTTCGCTAAGGTGTGATTTTAATATGATATTCCAGCATCCATGTTCACATCTAAACATCTGGGTTAAAACGCAGTAATATCAGTGAAACCTGAAGAGCTTCAAGCATAAAAAAAAAATCCATGTTAAACGAATTTGATCTTACTTTTTCAAAACTGAGTAACTGAAAGTGAGTACCAAGTATATATAAGCTTTGATGCTATTGAAGTTCTTAAATTGCCTTCTGGGCACTCACCAAATCATTACACCTAGCTCCTTCCACTGCTTTGAGTTTCTAAGAAAGTTCAAGATAGTTTGGTTATATTTTTGTTATTGATCTAGTATAATTTGATTTTCAAAATTACTGCCATTTCTTTAAAAGTGATAGTTAAATGTTTTATCTACATGTTTTTTAACATGTTGTTTTTTAGAAAAGGTTTCCTAACATGTGAGAGATGCAAGATTTAAGATCTTGACTTCTTTACTTAAAAAAAAAATGCTGAGAACAATATAGTAGGCTAATATTTATTGTTCCGTTAACCAGTAAAAGGGTATGTGTACTACCTTTTGAATATGTGACGAAAGTTTGTGTTTTCTCTAAGCTGGCAACAACATCGTAGTAACTTTAAAGAGGTTATTCCCCATGTTTTGAATGCAGCATGGCAAAGACGTACAAAAATGCGCGGAAGGGAAGAAGTGTATGAAGCACCCATAATGAATAAATGGTAACTTTGTCATAATAGTCAGATAATATCTGTCTCCATGATCCAAGTGATCGATTTTAGTATTATAGTAACAAAATATGGCACTCTTCAAGAATTACATCATTTCATAGCATGTGAAGAAGTTATGCTTATGAAATTAGCGCTCCGAGTAAGTGTATATATTTATATTTAAGTGGAACCTTTGTTGATACTGTAAGTGACTTAACCTTTTGAGCCCTGGGTATCGGTTCACGTATGGGTGACATTTAAAACTGCTCGTATGACCAACCACTGATACAGCAGTGAGTAAGACTCTATCCCCAAACTGGGACAAATTGGGCGCGGGAAACCGTGTTTGCTGCACAAGACGTTACCTATTATTTTGAAGATCTATCTGAATTAGATGCTGGTTATGATGAGAACAACAATGAGTGGGATATGGAATGTGTTTCTGATGATAACATGAATGTGAGTCATATTATATCGCTCAGGAGCACAGGCAGAGGGGCATGGTAGCATCAGGAGTCAGGGCTCAAAGAATTAAAAGCAGAAATTGTATTCCTGTAGGAGAAATGAGTTCATTTAAATTAGTAGGATCTTATGTTCAGGTCAATGTATTGGACAGTTTGAAAACCTGGTAGATCTATATGTTATATCAACCAAGCATGAATTTCCATATACATGACTTTAAAAAATAAAAAAAATATTTTAAATGGACAAAAGGATGTGCACACTCATTCACGCACTACTGCACACGCACACACACACACACATACACACACTCATGCACACACAAACACACATACACACACAGTCACTCACTCCTCCATACAGTTTTTTCATATGTCATAGTGTTTTTTTGGGGCAGTTTTAACTCAAATGATCAAAAGATCAAAAGCTTCAAATGCAGTTCACCACTTGGACTTATTACTTTGATCATAAAATCATACATCAAGCTCTTCAAGGTGTTACAAGTTTGTTTTGTTTTGAGCTGTAGTGGGACTTAAAAAGGTGAACTAAGTTAATAGGAAATAGAGGCAGACTGTGATAGGCACAAGCAATTCCCACATGCAGCTAGATCTGTACACTCATTTCAACACAGATGGACACGATACATGGAGAGTTGAGCTTTGCTTGTTGTTGATTTTTCCCTGACTTGTCTCTGAGTTTTCTAGGTCTGTTCATGTAACCATCAAAGGTTGTGCAGAAAGTGTTCATGGATTACTTTTGATGGCAAAGTACTCATGAAATGTGCATAGTCTATTTGGCTATAAATAAGGTTGATAAAGTAGGCTACTAGCCTACTTTTTCTCTTCCATTAAGATTTATGAAAGTATAACTTTTAATTTTTCTCAAGGGCATGTACAATGAACTTTTTGTTTTATGCTTGGAATATTTTTAAACACACCAATTTCGTCTTATATTTTATGCTATTTCGCATTTCTGCTCATGTTATTTGTGAACTGTAGACAGAAGAGGGAGATTCATAATGACGGTTTCTTATTTTCAGACTGCATTACAAAAACATCATGATGGATGTACATATCATGACACTTTTGACAATATTATTAGTATGGTGCATAAAATACGTATGCCAATAATACAGTTGTTATTATATGTCATTGTGACCATGTGTATGAAAATATATGTGGTCTAAAGGTTTATTCAAAGATAAGTTGTAACCTTGTAACCTTCTCTTTGCCATAACTCGTTGGTAACTTGGAGTAGGCCTAAGATACAGAGATCAAAAGTGAGTTTGAAAGTATACTTGTTGCAGGCCTATTGTGATTTTTTGAACAAGACTCCAAACCACTAGATTTAAAAATGAAAATGGGAATGATAATAATTGTTATGATGATAACTGCATACATTGTATATATAGTGCATATTCTCAGTCAAAAGTAGACTCTTTTGTGCTTTGGAGTCTATTATGACTAGTTTATTATTACCCAAACAGACCCCACAACATTTTGAAACATTCTGAATTTCGTAGGATCTCGAAACATTCAACTCAAGCTGATACTTTACAGGCACTCAGACACGAACATACTTTGGAAAAGATCTTTTGCTGTCTAAGCTTGATGCTCATTCTCACTCGGCTGAAGTGAGGACACTTTGTATAATGTGTCTTTTCCAAGGACACAACATTGGGCCTTGACCAGGATTCGAACCTGCAACTTCATGGTTGTGAGTCCGGCAGTGATTATGATTAGGCTACCAACATAATATCATGTGATGTACATTTTGTGGAAAAGTATTGATTCTATAAACTATTTAAAATATTTAATAAAACTATTATATCCCACTTTGTTATTATACTGGGTTTTAAAAAATAGTATTCTGTTACATGTATAGCAATTGTTTTACAGTTGCTTTTCAAAGTTCATTCAAGAGGGATTCCTGCAAAACACATGTTATATTTTGTGGTTAGCATAATTAGATAATTAGAGAGCCCGGTCAGACTGATTTTTAAAAAACGCTTGTAATGTGTGTAATGTGGTCATAAATACACAAAGATTATTTTGCAAGACTTTGGCTTCTTTGTTTTCGGATGTGAAAGTGAAATGGTTTTTTGTAATATTTTTCTGTCTTTTTAAGGTAATCCTGAATCTGTTCCAGTATATGATTTTTGAAAATGGGATTTTGTGTTTAACACTGTTGTGTAAGGCACGATAATTGTTTGCTCAGCTTAGGAAAACTACTAAAACTGAAAAATAAAGAGAACAAATGAAGGTTTCAATAAAGGAAACTACGGTAGATATCCTACCGAAATCTGAGACAGCAAATTAAATATGAAAGACCAAGGACATAGGAAAGCTAATGAAAGAGAGAAGGCAGGCAAAGTCAAATGTGAAAAAAATTGGGGGCTTTGAATAAAAAAAATAAAGTAAACAATGTAATGAAGTGAAAGAACAGGGATAAATGATCAGTACCAAGAAATGGAGAAAAATCAGAGAAGTCGACTAAATGGGAAGAAGGATGTTCAATTCTGAAAAAAAAAATGTTTTAGCTGCCATTGATTAAAATGAAACAAGATAAAGAAAAAAAAGGTAAATCTTTACGACCAGATATTTTCCCAAAATAAGTGATTGTCACATTAGAAAAATCAAGCACTGAAATAAAAACGAAGTACTTAAATTCTGTGACAGTGGTGAGATTCTAGTAGATGATTAAGCCAGTTTTATAGCTTTACCACCTAAGTGACCAGGTCCCGAACAGACTGTGAGTGGCATAGATCAATTACATGCAGCCTTAAGAGTCATTTTGCAATAATTTTTCTGAGAGTAGGTCTACTAGCGGAAAGATTGAGAAAACGTCTAAGACCAAACATAATATTATTATGCAAAACACAATGTAGCTTGGTACCTGACAAATGTAGGCTATCGGAAATGTTACAGGCCTAGCTTTTTCACCCCAACAACGTTAATGGAGATATCTATATATTTAAGAGTAGGAAAATCTGCTTTTTAAAATTCATTGACTTATATTCAAAGCCTTATGCTAATCTTAGACATGATTACTTATTGTTCATTTTGAAAGAACTAGACATAGATGGAAAGGATCAAGAATTTGTACTAGGACCAAACTGTTGCTGTTAGAATTTGAGGGAGAGTACCGTGTATAGGAGTTTTGTATAGTTGCTTTACTTTAAGTCACAAGACCTTTTCAACACATGCTGTGAAATAATCCTTAGAAATATAATTTTAAAAATTAAGGTCCCAATGTGAATGGAGTAAAAAATAGTTACATAAGTAGATAAATGCCGATGACACAGTTTTAATTGCAGATTAAGAAAAAAAAAAGACGTTCAATTGCTTCTTTATCTAAATTTTATTGTGATTGAAAGGTGAAGAAAAAGGATTATAATGTTTTCGTTGAATATAAAAACACAGAGAGAGAGAGAGAGAGAGAGAGAGAGAGAGAGAGAGAGAGAGAGAGAGAGAGAGAGAGAGAGAGAGATGCAGAGATGCAAAAGAAAAAGAGGAAACATTCTGGCAATCAAATACCACATTCTGATAATTTTGACAAAGCTCTTCGAACAATGTTGTGTTATAGGCCTTCACCAGAGGTCGTTTTTCTGTCCTTTCTTTTGTCAATGTCTTTCGGAGGCTCCGTGACCATATTATTTTTTCATTCAATGCCTTATTCATTTCATTTTTTTGGGTCTCGACTGATCTTGTCTTAGTCTCCACGTGGCTTCTTCTACCTCTTTGCCTTCTGGAACCTAACGCAGGCAGAAATATGTCCACTAGCTAGCGTATACGCCGGTGGCCTGCCAAAAATAAAATAAATACCCAAGCCACATTCTCCACCTGTTGTCGCCTGTTGATTTCCAAGATGACCGAGCGTGCGGAGGTCTTCATCGTGTAGCTCGTCGAAGCTTTTCTTGACACAGAAAATCAATTCGAATGAGGGGTTCTAGATGCCACTTTATGACATTGGGAAAGAGGAAAAAGGCAGCTTGGGGATGGGTGGCAGATGCTGGAGTGTGGTTAGCTCATTCTTTCCTATTAAAAATTTGTCGTTCTGATCTCTCCTCCTTTTTGTGTTTGTTACTCTCTTGTAACACATCTAAGGCTGAAAATATACTGCCACACACAACTGCGAAACGGACGAGCAGCTGGATCGGAAGTGATGATCCCATAGGTCATCGCGACTCCGTCCGACAGTAAAAATTATGGCGTTGAGCAGGCGTATACAGCCCAGTGGTCGCCCCCTCCCCCTTTTTTTGCATGGACGCGCGTCTTTTTGGGTCCTCACGACTACTCACGTCTATAGGCCGGACAACACCAAATGGGCAACTTGTCGACCTCATTACACAGAAACTAAGAGGTGAATTGTCGTGCTTTTATTGCATGTACCTCTGAATTCCAAAAAACCCTAAAATATCTCGATTTTCGTGCATATACGACACATATAAAGAGGTGTTTTCTTTATAGTCAGTAGTATTTAATTACAGTCTGCGCAGGGATTTTTTTATTGGACCAAGAACGATAGTTAAGTGTTGTCTTTTTTGTTTGTTTAAATCGATTTTCTTTTTTTTAAAAACTGACTGCATGCCCCGCAAGACCGAGTTTTTTCAGTCCAGTGGTCAGTGCTGGGTTTGTTTTGATTGACTCATTGTGATACAATGAGTAAATTTCTTTCATTTCTTCCGTCATTGAGATCGCATGCGTTTCAATTTGCTGTCGCTTTTTCATTAATCACCATGGTAGATTACTTAATTTACAAACTCAAAAACATTGCCTTAAAAATGCTGAACTGTTTCTCCAAAGAAGCGGATAGAGGCCATCTCTTTTATTGTATAACAAATCCCGAAAAAACAAGACATGTATGCGTTAAAAAAAA